CCAAGTGTTCTTGCGTGGGCCACCTTTGACAAACTGGGAGAGTTCCCCCTGGCGAATAAGGCACTCGATGGCCTTCTTCAGTGTGATGCAATCGTCGGTGTTGTGCGACGAGTTCTTGTGGAACCGGCAGTATGTGCCGCCCTGCTGGATGGCAAGGATCTCCTCGGCCGGCCGAGGAGCCTGCTCGATGAGGCCGTGCTTTTCGGCATAATCGAGGATGGTGCCGACCGGGTGGGTGAGGGTTACCCCCGGCCGTTCCAACCTCGGCCGCCAGTGGCGATCCTTCTTACTCTGTCCACCAGAGTCGTGACGGCCCTGGCACCCTGGCCGGCCGGGTACGGACCCGGGGCCGGCGAAAGATTTGTCTTCTTGGGGGGATGGGCCCCTTCTCTCTTGTGATTGTGGAGCTCGTCGGCGTCGGCATACAAGCCTCCGCGCTGGAGCGCCTTGGCGTACGACCTCGGGGGGTCGGTGATGAGGCTTCTGGCGTACGGGGAGCTGCGGAGGGCTCCCTGATACAAGGCGAGGAGGGTGCGCTCATCGGCCCCCTCGACCTCCTCGGTTTCCCTCGTCCACCGATCAATGAAGGACCGGAGGGGCTCCTCGTGCTGCTGCTTGACGGAGAGGAGGTGGGTGAAATACTTCTTTGCGCGCTTCCTCCCGGCAAAGTGAGTGAGGAAGCGCTGGGCGAGGTCCTGCCATGAGTCGATGCTCCCTTCGGGGAGCGCGTTGAACCACTCGTACGCTGGCCCCTCGAGAGTACAGAGGAACCAACGGCAGAGGTATTCGTCGGACGCTTTCACCATCAGCATGTTGTTCTGGTAACGGCTGAAGTGTTCCTGGGGGTCTGATCGGCCATCGTAGGACTTGATGGCGTTTCCCCTGTACTTCTCCGGGATGGGGGCCGAGAGGACCCTGTTGGTGAAAGGGGTCTTGGTCCTGACCTGGATGATGGGGTCACCTCGCCCCTCGGCCAGCTCCCTCTCCAGGGCGCTAACCTTGTTCATGAGCGCGTTGAGGCCGGGGTCGTTGGAGGCGCCGGCCGTAGGGATGTTGGCCGACTGCTTGGCCTCCATCTGAGCCAGCCTCCTTTCCAGCTGGGCGATGACCTCGTCCCGGGGGTCCCTGGCGGCTGCAGCGGCGCCCGGCTGGTTCCTCACGCGCTCGTTGTGAGCCGCGTTGATCTGGTGACGCACGTCATCCTCGTGCAACTTTCCCTTGCCCTTGTCCGGGCGGGGCTGGTCCGCTGTCCGGGACACAGACCCCAAGCTTTCCCTCGGCGAGCCAGGACGAGGATCACCAATCTGTCCCGCCATCCTCTCCGAAACCGGACGACGGCGCGTGTCACCTAGCCTATTGAAGGCAGAGGCTTTTCCACGCGCTGGGGTCTGCCCAGGCCGAAGAGGGGAAGCAGTGTGGGAGTGGGACGACGCCGTGTCCTGGGGACCCACCCCTTCATCGTTGCCTATCTGGACGGCCAACGGTTGGGGCTGAGGAGGTTGAGTGACGTTCCCCCCGGTCCTTGGCAAGAGTGCGCTGAGGACGGTGGGGTTCTGAGCTAGGCTGGCGATGATGACCCACAGCGCGGCTTGGACCTGCGGATCCACGGACGGAGAGGCCGCGGCCATAGGCTGGGCTGGGGCGTGGTCCGTCTTCTCAGCTCATTTCTTGTCCAAGCCGAGGCGGGCGTCGGGGACTCCGCCGTTGAGTTGGTTGCGGAGGTCCGTCGTGAGGTTGAAGGCCTCTTGGAAGAGGTCCCCTCCGCCGACCTGGTCGGCCGTGGCGTCCTCATCGTGCTCCCTGGGCTCTTGGTCCTCAGGGATGGCTTTGTTGGCGAGGTTGCGGTTTGACTTAGTTCTCCCCATGATCAGTGGTTAGCTGTGCTTGGTAGCGACGAAGGGTGCTAACTTGATTGTTCTAGCTCTCAACGAGAGCACCAAATGATAGAGTATATATCTAGAGAGAAGTGAGAGCTAGAGAGAGAAGTGCAATAATATGCTTCAATAGAATGATTTTGTAACCCCTATAACTACTCCCAAGGGGAGTATTTATAGAGAAAATACGGGCTGGGCTCCCAAGCCTTGGGCTTGGGAGGCCCATTTACAACTGGACCGCTACTGGGCCGAATACAAAGCCACTAATGGGCTGTACAAATGAGTAAGTGTAAAATCCGATTCTGGGAGGTCTTTGTGGCCGACGAGGGCGTGGCCAACGAGGGCACGGCCGACGAGGGCACCCGGGTTCCTTGGGCTCGGGACCATAATCTGAGTTGGCCCTTTTTCGGCCGACGGGGGCGTCTTGGCCGACGAGGGCGCCACTCTGTGTCTTGTGCTTTCTGTTCTTCCGAGTATGTGGGTCCGGGGGCTCAGACCCATATACTCCATCATCATCATCATCATTATTATTATTATTATTATTATTATTATTATTATTAGGCTTTATAAAGTTGGTGCTTTTGTACTCGCTTGCAAGAGAGCGATCCGGCGTGCCAGATAAAGATGGGCTTCACAGTAGTAGCATTTCTTCCCAAAAGCAATAATTATGTTAGGGCTCTAATCACCCGACTAGTTCCCACCTAGGTGTTAGATCGCGACCGGACGTTCTGATTTTGATCTACACGTTCCGATTAATTGATTTGGCACATAAATGAATTAGCCGACAACCAAGGGCATTCAGTTGCCCGCTTAGAACGCTTAATCGGTCGCTTAGGCGTCTAGATTTGTCGAACATTTTATTTTTATTTTTTATTGTAGTAGCCTAAGAGATGTTTGTACCTTTTAACTTCAACAACGCATATGAATTGAAGAAACCTACTAGTTGTATATAAAGATAAGAATTATACATGTTTATATATTATCGTAAGTGTTATTATTATCTAATAATATTTATGGAGTATTACATAATGAAGTTAAGTGAGTATGTCTAATATTACTACGTATTAAGTATGACAACTCTATCATTCATGCATGCTAATGTGCGTGTATTTTTTTATGCACACACAAACACAACATTACTAATCGCATATTTATGTAAAAGTATTGATAAAACCATAATTTCTTGACTAGTCCCCGACTAGACGCTAGATGTTGGCCCGACGCCCGACTAGCATCCCGCGCCATTTAGAACATTGTGGTATGGTAATTCTATTTACAGTCACGCAATTTCTATTCGCAGCCACATTAATTAATTTTTATGAATAATTTAAAAAAAATATCTCATTTGCCCTCGGAAGCTATCTGCTCTAGAGGGCCACACACAACACACAGTCATTTCTTAAAAAAAAGATGACACTCCATCCCTGAGGGGCCTCCAACCCCGATCGGACGGTACGTCGAGAGGATGTAAATTGGACTATAATCACAATCTGACAGATAGAGAATGAGGCTCTGTCCTCTATATTTGCAGAGACCCTATGCATATTTTAGCATAATAACCTCTCATCGCAGTTGTCGGGATTCGAATCCGGGATCTAACCCTTGTGGCACTTCCTCGCTACCCGTTGAGCTACGCCCACCGATACGGACAGTCATTTCTTCTGATGATGATGAGTAGAATTGAGGTCCACAATTGACTTTGGTTCTCAACAAAGTCAAACAGTGATACCGCCATACAGGAGGGTCTTATGATCGGGAACTTATTCTTCCCCTCATCTTTCTTTTGTTGTCGAAGTGAAAGCCCCTGCCCCCTGGGATTATTGAGCGTAAATTTGTGCAAGTATTGCCGATGAAAGTCAGCTTCAAGCTCTGTCTTCCCCTCTATCAGAAGATTGCCTTGTGTGGAAGGTCTTTAGTCTTTCTTCAAAAAAAAAATCGTCCGAAACCGGCGACTTTAGGCGAGAGAGGTAAGAGAGATGAAATTGAAAATGAACTTGTTGACTTCGCACATCTGCTATCGGCGATCTTAGAGCCGACGGTGAACAAAATCGCTGTGGCGGCGTATTTGGACATAGCTATGGATGTGCGAGAACCATACCCGGCAATTGTCATCATCCAGGAGTCTCCATGTGTTGTGAATGATCCGCCACCACTTGAAATAAAATATTGTGGTTGGTATTCGAAGTGGTTCCGCCAGGGATATAATTATATGTCGGAGAAAGTCCAGATATAGAGTGATTAGTGAAAGTGTTCACTTTTGATTCTCTATACTGCACTTTTATGCTCAAACACTTTCTTTGTAGTTGTAAAAAATCATTCAAATGCAAAATTGCCACCGCATTTTGACCAAACTTGCTATATTAGTGACATTTTGGAGTCATTAAGTCTCAAATCCAATTGATCAAATACATTATCATTTATCACATTGAGTCTTTTCATATTTCATTCAATAAGTATGTAAGGATGACATTCCTATGAAGCACACACCTTTTTTGGCACAATATAAATTAACTATTTAGAGCACGAACTACGTCATGTCAATATTGGGTTCTAGGTGCAATAACACAATCTGGTCGAGGTCCTAAAAATAGAAGATACTGGTTTTCAAAATACTGAAACGAATATATTGTTTTACTATAATGGTATGCATCCCGAAGAAATGCAAGGATACAAGAAAACAAATCCCAAAAAAGTATTTCTGTGAACCAAATTGTTTCCTGAATACGCCTAACGGCCCAAGCCAACAGAGATCGCCTCCCTTGTTTAATTTTGAAATCTTACAAAAAATAAAAGATGTATAATACATATGAATCCAAGTAATATTGAATTGCTAATAGTGAAAGACTAATTTGTTCATGATATGATTGATGTATGTTATACTTCTTTATTGCTCTTCAGTTAGGCCCATGCTAAGCATAAATCTAGATATGCCCCTGTTGAAAGTTAAATGAACGAGTGGAAATGTGGTTTGCAGCATCTTCAAAGTGTGCAGCAAAAAAATCTTTAAGGTACACTGAAGAGCGAGCAACCACCGTAACATTTGTAACAAGATGGGGTACCATTGATATAAATTTTCAGGAGTTGAAGTAACCACAATTATAGAAAGTAGAAATTAAATAATTATGGCATGACCGAACAATTATACCACAAGAAAGTTAATTCTCTTTAAGATTGTTTACCAACTAACCCTAGTGACATGCCGATTGCCAAGTTGTTACTAGTGAACTTGCTGCTTAAGCTTTAATCCCAGAAATAGAGAAATACAATATTTATTATTCCAATAGAAATTGCATTAACTAAAATAATGAGGAAATAAAGTTTCAAAAAAACTAGCTGCAAAAAAAGAAACAAATATAAACCAGCAGTGAAGAAGGATTCGATCAAAACTCGTCCTTTTAGTTTCAATTGTGAAGTAGAAAAAAACATGCCAACCACAATATATAACCATCTCAAATTCAGGATAATCCTGCTTACTTACCTTACCTGGGTGGGAGAACAAAGTAAACCGGATGCATCTGCTCCAACCACAGCAAGATCACAAACCCCGCAGATCTTCCCTTCTTGGGATGGAACAAAATGAGTAGTGCAGTAAGGGCAAGTGACGTCCTTCTGTCCTCTGTAGATAGGGACATAGGTAGCCCCACAAACAACAAAAGGGTTCCGAAAATCATAATTCAGCTGCGAAGCATCTTGCATGTCTCTCTCGGCTTTCTGCAGAACTTGTCTGGCCACCTTTGCCTGGTTCTCATTCGTTGGGTTAGTCTCCAACAACCGCCTGGCGAAGTTGGCAGCCGTGGCCATATTACTTGCCTTGAAGCACACAGTCATGGCATTCTGTAAAGCAAGCCTCAAATGTGGAATCTGGAGATTACAATGAGTGAAATATGCTGCCAACTCCTGCTGGCGAACTGGGTTGTCCTTCATTTCCTTCCTCTTAAGCTCCATCTGAAGAGCCAAAACATACTCCTTCACAATGGCAACAACTTCCTTCACCTCGTCCACCTCTCGCCGTGACTCAACAACCACCAAGGGAATCGTGTGGAGGATGTTTACAAAATTCCGGAGCGCCTCAGAGAACTTCCCTTGTGTCGTCAGCCTATACCCACCTTTGAGTTTCTCTTCCAGCTGAGAGAAATTGCAAACGAGTGCAGGTGGGCCCCGCACGTTTGGAATTGCAGACTCACTCCAACCCCTCTCAATGGCAGTAGAAATCACCGGGGCTGAAGAGAAGGCGAGCAAGTAACTGTGGCTGCCTGTGTGAAGATCGACAAACAATTGCTTCAGAGGAGAGAAGTTTTTTATACCCAGCTGTCGGTTCAGCAACCTCATTGCCGTGTCGAAGTTTCCGGCAGCAGCATGTTCAGCAGCAAGAGATGATTTTTGCATCCAGATCTGACTCACCGGCATGCCAGGTGTCGGAGCAACAAATGCCAAAGAAGACCGTGATGCATTAGTGGTGGTCTTCGGTGTGTCGCTTTCAAGTGGGAGATCCAAATCCTCCAACTCCCATCCTCCCTCAGTTTCTTCCTGACCTTCCACATCCGCCAACGCCATTTCTCCGTTCTGTAGATTATCCTCCTCCCCAATGTCCAAATCCTCAACCCAATCAGCATCAGCAGCTTCTTCATATTCATCATTCGAACCGCCTCCATTTGGAATGTTCAGAGTGCCTTCAAATATGCCTTTACTGACCATCAGCAGAGGCCAATCTCCTTCCCCACGAGATATTGGAGTTGGAGGTAGCAAAAGAGAAGCCTTCTTTTCTTTTGGGAATGAAGGGATATTATCATCACCTAGTTTTTCTGCAAGACGCTCAGCGATGTCAGTGAGGCCATGGGCTGAGGCAGTGATATAGGCAAGGGGCAGATGGTCAGCATTCTCCAAAACTTTGACACGCTCACGGATGTCACCTAGGTACAGAGCATTGTGAAACTGACCCATGACTTCCTTCTCCCCCTCAGCGATTTTCATCATCTTAGATAACTTCTCCAGGTTCCCTGTTATCAGATAAAGAAAAGAGAGCCTCTCAAAGTTCTTTGTCTTCTGGTATGCATATTCAACGATTCCAGCATTGCCCTGCCGGAGGGCCTCCACTCCTAGCCTATACCATTGATCTTTCTCATCTATCTTCTTAGCAGATTCAAGGGCGATCTCGATGTTCCCACTCTCCAGTGCTAATCCAAAACGGATGCGTTCATCTTTGACAAAATGAAGAGCGACTTCTGGGAATCCCTTCTGCTGTAAATATGCAATCATGGCTTGGCCGCAGAGTTCTGAGTTCCTTATCATGCTCATCACCTGATCATATCTCTTCCTCAACAGCGATAGCTTGAAAATGTACTCGGTTGAATCAATGATAATGGGCCGGACCTTTCCGTCTCGGTCAAGGCAGAAGATTGTGTTTCCATATATTTTTGTGATATAGACAGGGACATCCAAGGTCTTGATAATTCCACTGTCACCATTTGGAAGGCAATATTTGATGTGGGTTAGGGTAGTATATATGAAAACCCCATTATCATCCCAAGCTCCACTCTTAACACGGATCGTCTCGTGAAGTGTACAACGGTTCACCAGCTTCTTGTCTGCTATGATAATAGAATGCTTGCTAAGCAAAGCTACACTCTCCATGTCATGCGACCACACAATGTACCTGACAAAAGATGCTTGAAGGTCTCCAAGGACAACCCTCTGTTGGAGATCAAATACAATCACTCTATCCTCTGCCCGGCACAACAAATTCCCGGTGCCGGCATAAAATATTGCATCAGTAGCAATAGGAAGAACACTCTTCTTGACAATTTCATTCTTGAGATTCTTCACCAAAACACTATTGGTGCTCTTCTCGAGGACTGCAAACCTGTTTCGAGCAATGAACACAGCAGACCCCCCAACTCCTCTTTTTGCATCCTGAACAGTGTCACCCCTCCCATAACTGTCTTTGGGGACGATATACAGTTCGTATGAACCGCCGTCTATGTCGGCGCATATTAAGACAGCATTCTCAGTAGGGCTGTATGAAAGGGTTCGTGGACCTTGATTCAACCCATTTGATCCGGGCCTACGTATCGGTATCAGCTGTGTGTCTTTTTGAGTTGAATATTCAAATACTCGCAGGAACCGGTCCTTCACATAAAACAGAGAATCAGAACTGACAGAAAAAGCAGGGCGTTCCCTCTCTAGCTTGAATACTATCATCCCACTGTCATGCCCAGCTGCAAGAAGATTCATCTCGGGATGAGCTGTAAGAATCCAGAACCTGTCATGTTCCCTCCGGAAAGTCTGAAGGCCAGTCCTTTTCGTAGCATCCCATACACGTATGCTCTTATCCTCTGAATTTGAAACAATAATATCTTGCCTCGAGTGAAACAAAACAGAAGAAACATTGTTCATGTGGCCTCTCAAAGTGTCCACCTCCCATGCTTTCGTGTCTTGAAAAAATATGTACTAAAGTTAGCAATAACAATTGAGTAATTATGTTAAAATATATAAGTTGCAGAAGATATTATCACATTATAAATTTACCAAAATTTTAACAGTACTTACACCACGTCACCACTAAAGATGTATTTTTCTGTTATGCCAGTAAGATCATGTGAACTGGACAAAGTTGTAGAGGAAATGAGGAATATGTAGTTCCTCAATCATAACACTATTAAATAAATAAATAAATAAATAAATAAATAAATAAATAAATAAATAAACAATTACATCAATCGAAGATTTTCACTTCAACAATATTCTGCCAAGACATGGATAGTTTATTTAACATGTAATTCAGTGATTAATTTATCAAACGGCGTTATACTGTTACTATGTATTTTTTAAGTTCATGCTTCATTATGCGCATATTGGTTTGAGTATATCATCTACTAATGGGGCTTGACTATAACAATTATCTAAGGCTGATTGCCATCTCATTCCTCTAAGATAACTTCTAAATTTCTAATGCAAAAGCTATGCAATAATGCAATAAATAATTAATTTATAAATGTGTGGTGTGATGCAAGATTGTAGAAGATATTCAGACTTGATCTACCAACAAGAATATAACAAATAGCCACATGCACCTCCTACAGTGTTTGGTTAGTCATAACACATGAGATAAAAAGCAAACCAGATCCATCAAAAACAATAAAAACTGAAGGGGCTTGAGTGTGGACACTGGACACACAATGTAAATCAAAGATATCACAATATATGCGTACCATTCATCCTCCAAATTTTCACTTGGCGATCATCTGCCCCAGAAACAATTAGGGGGAGTGTAGGATGAAAAGAAGCCCAATTAACACCTCTATCATGGCCCTCTAGTACATACTTCACCACAGCATCAACCCCACCGAAGAAGTCAGCATTCATTTGACTCAAGCGTAGAATGTCATCAGCAGGGGAAACTGTTTTCTTCCTCATGGCACCAATGTCCCAGACCCGAACAGTCTGATCCAAAGATGCTGAAACAACCAAGTCCTCCTTAGGATGAAATGATGCACACATCACATAATGGTTGTGACCAGTCAAGACAGCAATACATGTTCTAGACTGCCAGTTCCATATCCTGATTGTCTGATCATCACTTGCACTAACTATCCATGGGTTTTCATGATGAAACTGAACAGTCCTGATGTAATCAAGATGTCCAAGGAGGGTAAACAGACATCTGTGCAGCTTATAATTCCATACCTTGATTTTATAATCATCACCTGCAATAATCAATATTCTTACAAATAATTCAGAAATGAAGATTTTTATGTTTTGAATAGTGATAACTAAACAATGTGCAACACTCCACCCACTCACCCAAACCATTGCCATGGATAGCACCGAAACCATTGTTTAACCCATGACCAAATTACATAATTACAAAGGAGAAAATATAATCACTTTCAGCTATGCGTCCATAAAGAGATTTACCCGCTCTTTTTAATACATCAGAGATAGATCATCAGGCGTATTATGAGTTGTTTTGATTCCACTAGTCTACTGTACTCCCCAGAAGCAAAAGGGCCATTCTCGTTTCGGGGAAGGTAATATAGAATTAAAGGCTAAAACCCAAAGAAACCAGTACAGGTAATAAAGTTATATAGATCCAGAGAAATTGCTAAATTCGACAAAAAAAAAACGCAAAGAAGAAACGAATCAGACCTCCTGAAACAAACAGAGGTTGCGATTTGTGAAAGTGAACCCCACGAACGGGGCCATCGTGTTCGTCGAACCGATCAATGAGGGTGCCCATCCGATAGTCCCATAGCTGGATCACACCGCTGTGGAGACTTGCCAAGATCCAAGGCCGCTTGCTGTGAAAACTAAGACCTTTCACCCGATTGCTCTTGGTCTCGAATTTCGTCAACATTATCCCCCTTTCAGAACCTATTGCGGCTTCAATGTTTCAAAGGCTCTGGGTACAGGAATCTGGAAATCTATCGCAAGAAGGGAGAGATCCAAGAGAATTCAGATCTGAAATGAACGGTACATTTTAGGGGATCGGGAATGGAGGAGTAGGCTGACCAGCCGGGTGGTGCGTTTTTCTGAATGAGATCGGTGGAAACATTCAAGTCGTAACAAATACTAGTCCCGATTGGAACACAGTCCCGTTCATGCAGCTCGCGGATCTACCCCACCGGTAATGCGGGTTATTTATCACCCTATCTCCACTTTGGGCAAGATTTTGTAAATAATTACTAGAGCATATCTCGAAAAGAAATTAGGATGTTTTTACTTTGGGACCGTAATTCGTCTCAGACCAGACCAGATCAGACCAGATCAGACCAGATCAGACCAGACCAGATCAGACCAGACCAGACCAGATCAGTTCAGATCAGACCAGACCAGACCAGACCAGACTTGGATAGTTATAAAAATACAAAGAAATCAGACCAGACCAGTTCAGACCAGATCAGGCTAGACCAGACCAGCAAATTACAGTCCAAGTAAAAACATCCTTAGGGGTAACTTGAGTATGCATCTCATCTAAATTGGACTTTGCACAATGTTTTTAAAAATCTTTTTTTTTGCATCCTAAACTCATATGAAAAGACTAAAACGTCCCTCCATTAACAATTCTGTTGATTTTCAACATATTCCTAATTGAGGGCTTGTCTTTTCATATGGGGATGGGTGCAAAAACAAAGATTTTTAAAAACGGAGTGTAAAGTACAATTTAGACAATAATATGGGGTGCAAACTCAAATTAACCCAAGAAATTACTACCTAGTATTTCTGTTCATTGTTTAAAATACTACTCCCTAGGTTATACAGTGAGCACCGTACAACGTTTAAAAGAAGTTTCACATAGGATATTTTATGTTATGTTTAATGAGTACGTAGTATATTGTTTAAAAAAATGAGGATTGTATTAAATCGCTATAATTGGATGCACTCATGCACAGTTAAATATTACAAGCATCCAATTGAGTATCATGATTTACACGTAATATATGTGTTACAAATCAACCTATTCATCTAACTATATTATCATTATATTATCATCAAAATATTTATTGTGTTAATTTTATAATTTAGTACAAATACTCATTTCTTTTAAACATTGTACTCGCTTTTTTGATATAAAATACTTGAATGTAAAGTGAGCACTATATAATCGGTGTACGGTATAATTTGCCTTCACAAAGGTTTTCTCACGACATCTCATTTTTAATAAGGTTTTCATAACTAAAATATTTTCAATTCAACTGATTTCACTCTCATATGACATCAAAACAGACCTAAATTATGCAGATCACACTAGATAGACCAAACTAAACTTCGAGAGGTGCAAAATACACATACAATACACATTTGTCAGACCATACACAAATACACGTTCAAATCGAATTTTTCAATCCAATTGAAAGCATCCTTAAGATAAAAACACTTATTAGCATTTTTATTTTTTGAAAGGAAAACATTTATTTATTAATGATAAAGTAATCAGTGTAAAAACAATTCGAATAGGCTAAGGCTACAAAGCAATAGGACAGAACTGAAATCATTTTTATTACGTTTCAAGATGGTTTTGTCACTTTATTCTCGATCGATTACTATGTTACTTTCATCTTATTGCAACACCATCGCCACCCAACTATTGTATCATCTAACTTTTCTTATAAACAAAATGAATAGAAGATTATGGTGCTTTAGTCATGTGAACCGCCATAATCTAAACCACCATAACTTTTTTTATCTAACTTTTCTTATTTTATTTCTTTTGTAGTTTACTATTTGTTCTCGATTATGGTGGTTTAGTCATGTCAATAGAAGATTGAGTAATGCACTTGTTAGATGAATTGAGAGGTGTGGGGAAGATACGGAGGGGGGAGAGAGAAACATACATGGATTAGAGAAGTCACAATTGATCTCTTACCATCTTTTCCCTTTTATATTTTTTATATTTCTTATCTTTCTTATGTTTTATATATATATAAATATTCTGATTATCCTTCTTATCTTATCATTTTTATGTATATCTTATCTCTACTTTATTGTATCTTTTTTTATCATGCCTTATTTTTTTTCTTTCTTTTCCTTTTGGCTTTAATCATGTATCGATTAATGTTAGCCGACTTCAAAATCTTTTGAGACTAAGGCTTGGATGTTGTTATTGTACATTACTCTTTTTCTTATTTCCACTATATCCCATCCATCAACACCCCCTCCCACCGTCCACTGTCGATAATTGTCACACCCCAGACCGCATCTAGGCGTGTGTACAACCGGCACACAATCAAGTCATGTCACCCGCAAGTCACACTCACTCGATTGTACAAGGCATCCATGAACATAGTTCATACCATACTCAGTAAGTAAACATACATAACAACATCACACTTTCGATTGAATGAATAGCGAAAATATTCAAGAGTCAAACATGAGCCACATATGGCAAAACGTGGGCTCGTGGGTCCAAAACAAAGTATCCATTACAAAATATTCATGAACATAGTTTGTAGTTTTAAATCAATAAAGGAAGCATGAATCACGTCTTCGTTGAGATCACTTCACTCGTACAAAGGTGCGGGTAGTGAGTCCTAAATTCAACCTGAAAAATGGTAGGGCCCCCGAAAGGGTCAGGTGCACGCGTACTAGCGAGAAGCAAGCTAAATGTAGAATAACTAATGTTTCAAGTATAAGATACAAACATAGGGTGATACATACACTTATACTTTTCCCCCAAGCTTGAAATACATATAGGTATATACAATTGGAAAATACCCGACCCGTAGGTCATTGCTTATTTGGGAAATCATAATAGTCATAGTCCTTGATTTATAAAACCCAAACCCACTCAGATGCCGATGAGTGTATTGGCCTCCTCCTTGTTCAATCAAGCACCTTAAGGACACAACCCGGTCCTAGGTTACTAAACTGTAGTCTATGAGTTTTGAGGACAATCCAGTCCCTGGGAACTCCACCAATTATATTCCAATTTTGAGGACAGTTTAGTCCATGGATACTCCACCAATTATATTCCGAGTTTTGGAGACAATCCAGTCCTTGGCTACTCCACCAATTATATACCGAGATTTGAGGACAGTCCAGTCCCTGGGTTCTCCATCATTTCCTATGATCTACCACATATCATACTTAGATAGGTTCTTTATCATATCATTACTAACGATTAATCCCAACTTTAGCATTAATCATCATATATCAAGCTTTAGCATTTAAATGTCATATTCCATGCAATACCATGCAAAATATACATATATAGGATGGTCGGGGTGGATTCTACCTTGAATCGGGCCCTGAATTGCATTTTATCAAAAACTGTCCCCGGAACCCGAGACCGAACTGGCATTGGTTCACTGTCTGACCGGCACCGATTCATAAAATTTTCCAAGATACGGCAAGGCAGTGGCCAAACCATTGCCGGTTCCGGCCCATGGTTGGCTCCAGTCCACTATCTGCCCAAGGTCCATGCTTTGGTGACCGCCCGAACCAACTTTGATTGTCCTGAAACATATACACAATATGTATTAAGTCGTAAACAATCAATATGTGCCACTTTTGTCATTCAAAACATCGCATATGTTTGTATACACATGTTATACCTTTTACATGCATATTCATGTAGTTTTATTCACATAAGTCTAATCACCTTGGCTAATCACATGCTTAAACTCTTTTAAACATCATTATGAATACATATAACATTTATTTAGGTAATGTCATACTTAACCCAAGAGTTATAAGACATTAAGCTATCAACTTGCCTCGAATGAGCTTTAATAAGTTTCACCCTCTTCGGTTGAACTCCGACGAACCCCCAACGAACTTCATTGAACTCTGGCAATACCTTCGGCGACTATCTCAACTTTGTGAGAGCACAAGGTTATACAAGTTTATAACAAGGTTTTAACATCCCAAAACCCATATTAATACAAATAACCTCTAAAAGGATATTTTTAGACGAACCGTCGCTTTAGCTTCTAAGTCCGTTCTTGGAGTTAGAACCACCTTCCAACACCTCATTCTACACTTCTAAACGTGTAGAAAATTCCTAGGGGCTCCTAATATGATTTCTAAAACATATGGGATTCATGAAGAAGAAGAAAAGGTTAATGAGGCTCCTTCTTGCTTGGTAATGGGACCAAATGACTTACTTTCTGATACTCAAAAAACCTAGTGAGAGAAGCTCTGGCGACCTGGTGAGATGACCGACCCTCCTGCGGCGGTGAAGCCGCCGTTACCTACGACGGAGAATAACGCTTGGAAAAAAAACTTTCGCGGATGTGCTCGTTGATCGTTCAGATCCTCCCCTTAGCGTGAAGACTCCCTCACGGTTCAAAGGGTTGCCTGTTGTTACCTTCCCTGAGGAGGAGATTCGTTCGTTGGCAGCTCGTCACAATAGGGTTCTTGTGGGTTATTTTTATAAGAGCAGACCGAATCTATCTGTTATTCGCAAGACCTTTGAAATTATAGGATTTTCTGGTGTGTTTCATCTTGGATTAATTGATCCTAAGCGTATTTTAATCCGTTTTGAGTCGGATGAGGATTTTTACCGTTGCTGGAACAAACAGACTTGGACAATCCGGGGTAGTATTATGAGGGTTACAAAGTGGACGCCGGATTTTCGTCCTAATGTAGAGTCCCCGATTGTTCCCGTTTGGATTGGCTTTGAATGCTTACCCCTCCATCTCCAGGACAGAAGAGCATTGTTTGATATTGCGGGGCTCGTTGGTAAGCCTCTAAAGATAGATGCAGCAACTGCAAATCTATCTCAACCTTCTATGGCACGAGTTTGTGTTGAACTAGACCTAACGAAGGAACTCCCGCAGAAAGTCTGGATCCAATGTGAATCTTCAGGGTTTTCCCAATCCGTCATTTATGAGGATAAACCGGAATACTGTAAGCTATGTTTTCATCTTAGGCACTCGGTTTCTAAATGCCCTAAGAAGATTCATAATAAGGAAGGGATGCATACCACTGATAAGATTACAAAGAAAGAAGTTGGAACTTTTACAGCCCAAGATAAAGAAAAGTGGGTGGCCATACAACCACCACATCGCTTACTAATTACACAAGGAGAAATTGGGACACATAGTAAACAGACTACAGACCCTTCTTCTTCCAAGTAAGGAAGAATTGATGTTTCCTCAGAGGATCCAGAAATTGTTGACTTACAAGAGGATACTGACAATGAAGAGATTTATCATGACCCTGCACC